AATTCCTTCGATCCGGTCGGATTCGAACCGACGTCTTCTTGCATACCAATTCTGAATACCAATACAATACTACCATATACACACATAATAATAATAACAATGAATAATATTCAATAAAAATTTAAGGAACAGTTTAGTTAAAACTCTGAATCACAAATATTTTATGTTCAAAAGGGTAATATCATAGACCTCTGTGAACAATTACAGGATTTTGTCAAATCTACGGAACTGAATAAGAATAAAAAGTATTCGAAAAAGTGTGTAGACTTTAAATACATATAGGCAAGGAGAACCAAATAACAATAGTGGTTGAAATAATTCTACAAGAAACTTCAAAATTACCTCTCATGAAAAGTCTGTATTTTTGAGATTACCTTGTTCATCTGGGCTCATGAATCTGTAAACTCTTACATTGAAATTAGAACTTCTTAGCCTCTGAGTCGCAGCGATCAATAATGTATTGCCATCAAATTGGGCATTTGGTGGGATACCAGATTTTCACCGAAGTACATAGGAAGTACTACAACTACTACTCATTACCTACTTCTGCAATACAAATGTAATGTGGGTTTATTATTCTCGATTTTTACACTTTTTTACAGACGCTACATAGCAGATGCGATAGCGAAAATAGTCCTGCTAGGACTGCTGCTCTGGTTCATGTACTCCTATTCCCATTTGTTCTCCACCGTCGTTGGAACACTGGACAGCACATTGAAGAACCTTTCGCCCATAGACCAGGTTAAAGCTGAAGGAACTACTATTACGAGTAGTATATAGGATTAGAATACAAATAAAAAGACGGTGTTCTGTTGATAAAAGAAAAAAAAAGAAAAGATTTTTTATTGATTGTAGGCAAATACACGAAATAAAGAAACTAGTGGATAGAGCCGGTAGGTTTATAGCGCCCAAGTGCAATCAATACCCTGGCGCCATCTAGTAGGCACGCGATCAAAATACTTTGAGACCCCACTAGCGTTTTTGGCGCACGCACAGCGTCGATACCACGTCCGTGCGGCGGCGACGCAACGGGGCGTTTCGTATACCCGACTTTATTTATTTTATTTTATTTTTTATTATTTTTATTATTTTTTACTCTATTTTTTTATTAAGAGTTTTGGCTTGGATACGAGTACTTTGAGCCATATCGTCATTTAATTACACTTTTAATTACATTTCTACAACATTGTTTTCACTTTCTCTTAAATAACTTAGTTCTGTTGTTTAGGATTTCTAGACAGTCTTTTACGGGGACGGAGTCAATATTTATGTTTTCATTTTTACTTATATTGCGTTATATTCACTTTGAACAAAAACTTTTGGAATTTTCAGGATAAACTCTTTTGTAATTTGGTTTAAAATAAGGAATACAGTTCTAACTTTCTTCATCATTATTTCTTTCTTTGTATTTTCGCTTATTTTTTAAAACTTAAAACGTTGTGCTTTCTTTTAAAAAAGCGTGCTTTTCTAAACGCTTTTTAGTTTGAAGCTTTCAAAATCATTTAGAAATACGTTTGAGCGCAAAGCCTTTTATATCAAAAAAAAAGTTTGCAGCGTTGCAACGTTGTGTTGATAGCGAAAAGCAGAGTAAACCGCCACAGGTTTTAAGATAAGTAAGTTTATTTGTAAAACAAGAGTTTTATTTTTATTTATAAAATTATTATTCTCATTGACGAATTAATTTGTTTAGGAAACATAAATGGCGGGACGTGAAACATAAACACGTTGTAAAAAATCATATTGTTTAGTATTGAACTGGCCAACGATTAAATTGAAAAGCATGTTTATGTGCTTATTTTAAAAAGCAAACTTTTTAAGTACTTTTCGGTTCAACGCCCACCTCTATTTTTTAGTCGCCCAATCCGTTTTATTTATACGCCGTGTCAACGCTGTGCATTTTTTGGCAAGACATTAGTGTGAGGGGTCTCTTACAGTTATATTTCCCCAGTGATCGGAAATTCGGGTGCAAATTAAGAAATTTTCTCTACATAATTTTGGTTGGCAATTTTTATTATTCAAATACTCTAGAATATTATTAAAAAAAAACTTCTCCATGAAGAAGTAGCAGGCGGCAACCACACAGAAAGCAGTTGAAAATCGCGCTGTAAAGCTTCGTAGTTGGTTTTTTGAGATTCATATAGAGAACCGGGACTCCCCGTTCTATTATTCTGATGTTTATTTACGGTAAACGCAGTTACTGTCCAAGAACGAATTAAATACGAACTACATGTCTTTGGTGTTCCTTTTCTCTGCACTAGATGGCACTATATTCAATAGTTCTTTGGAAATCATATAAACATCAAAAAATTTCGTCCTATGGAATATAAAGTGGCAGGGTTACCCATCACTTTCTTGTACTATTACGTTACGTGGTCAGGGCGGCAAGATAGCAAAAATTGTAACGCGAATCTGTTATCTATAATTCTATTGATAGAATCCTAATAATTACACATGTTCATTAGGTATTTATAATGTTATATTTTTTGTTAATTCGCTAACTAGAATAACATTGAAGATTTATTTGAAAAATATGTTAAAAGCACTTAAAATGTTATTTTTTGGAGTTTTAAATAAGGTATGTAACCAAGGTATTTGGAATTGCGTGGTCAAGTTTATCATTACCTAGTTGATGATTAGGTATATTCACTAAGTAATATTTATCGGCAATACAAATTGAAAATTCGAGAACCCTTGTCTACTAGGTCACGAAGTTATGGTGTCTTATTATATTGATATAATAAATCTGTATTATATATTACTCTGCACTAAATAAATGAAGAAAAAAATAACTGAATGAGTCTCAGACATAAGTTTTTCTTACTTACTTCGTTTCATCTTTCGGAAAACGGAAGAAACTCCTCTTTTTCACAAACAGCTGTACACAGCACAATTCACATTATAAGTACTAACGTAAAACAATGTTATATACATATATTAACGTATAAGTTTCGTAATGAGTAACTGAAAACTATATTCAAATATCAAAGCCGTCTTAGTGCGAAAACGACTCGCCGACAGCCTTGTTGTCGTTCAGTCAATGTGACCGGCAATGTGCGGGGCGTAGTGCGGTATCTAGAACTAGGGAGGGGCGGAGAGTGTCCGGTCTCGTTACTTTTTTGTTCTCTGATATAAGTATAGCTACAAGGGAACTCCTTCGTCACACTTCCACTAGTTTTTTATTCCATGAGCAAGTATGGTTTTTAAGCCAGCCAATTAGAATTAGACATAATCGAAATCAGACCTAAACGCTCTGTTTTCACTTTTAATTTGTCATTTCTTTTAAAACTTTAAGTAGTTAATGAACTGGGTCAAAATTCTATCATCTTGATAATTGTTTCACATTAGAAATGATTATTTTTTTCGGATCTTAATAGCGCATATTTGAAGAGAAGAATATCAAAAATGCAATGGCAGTTGATCTGTAGCTAGATGGCTAGTCTCTTACAAGATACTACTCTTAATTTTTAGTAGAATATCCTGCCTTTGACCACTCTATTGGCACCCAACTGAGATGATTTTAAATTGAGCAGACTCAGAGCCATAAAGAGCACGAAACGTTGATTTATCTTAAATAACAAATATACCCGATTAAGATCCGTAAGGGCGCGTGTACACGCTAAGAAATTCGTCGCGTCTGTTACAGAAAACATGATACTGGTCTTGTACACGACAAGAATTTTGTCGGATCTAGCCACGAAAACATGTCGTGACTGTTACAGACGAGAAAATGATGAGTATGTACACGGTACGAATGCTTTCGGACAGACATGTGTAAGCTGTCGTGTTATTACCGACTGTGGGAAGAAATATGTTGTTGTATATGTTGACTAGCAACACCCGTCCACGCGCATAAACGTTCGTTTACTGACAACGCACGTCTCCTCGTACGTATTACAACAGCAGCAAACGCGCGTCGTGTTGGGGGTAGACAAGATTTTTTCTTGTTCTGCGTCGAGGCAATGTACACAGTTCGTGTGTAGAAATGGCACGAATTCTTTTTTTTTTTTTTTTATATATATAATAGACACACGCTCGGCCACAATCTCACCTGATGTTAAGCGACGATGTGACTGATGATGGGACGCGTTTGCCTAAAAAATGCCTATTCACTCTAGCCTTGAATAGCCCCAAATTGTACTTTTCGGGAAATACAGATGCCGATACATACAGATGTAGAGCATTCCATTCCTTTGCCGTACGCATCAGAAAGGAGGAAGCAAAGCGCTTAGTGCGAATAGGTGGAATATCAACGACATAAGAATGGAGTGCTCCGGACCTTCTAGTCGACCGAAGGAGGAACGGTGAGGGCGGAACCAAATTGAAAAGTTCCTGCGCACACTCCCCGAAATGTATCCGATAGAAAACCGACGAATTCTTGCACAGACCCGGCGACTTTACTTAGCGTGGACACGCGCCATAACAATAGTTTCATTTCCTGTGTGTAACAGTAGCGAGAATCTAAAAACTCGATTTATTTTTGATATTAAAAAACTTTATGTAAATATTAAATGCCATTAGATGTTTAGTTTCTGGGGGTCTACTCTCGATGTCCGTCCGACATCCGTCCGAAACAATTACTGCCAAATAAGCAATACTTGACCAAATGAAAAGACGCGTGATGCGAATGAAGCTTCATACTCATTGACTTACAAATAAATGGACGACGGGTCTAATACAAAAACCACGAAAAAAATGTCCCAAGTCAACCTATTTAAACGTAGTGACATGTAAAGGAATATGAAAAAGCTAAAACGTTAGATTTAAATTGTAATGTAATCGCAGTACTGTCTAATTTTGCTTGCTTCGCTGTCAGTCGAACAAACGAAGACTAGAGCGTGAATGACGCTCTGTATACGATTTTAACGCCCTATAAGTTCGGACACTTTTTAGCGCGGACCCGACGTCCATATAATTGTAAGTCAATGTTCATATTTGATACTTTTAATTTTGTCGAATATTACTTATTTGACAGTAATTGTTTCGGACGGAAATCGAGAGTAGACCTCCTGACCATTGCGCTAAAGTTGTTATAAATGTACTGGTGGAATATTGTTATCTTTCTTTTCACGATTTTGATGCCTTAAATATTGTCGAAGGTTTAAACTGTAAGAATGAACGCACTGCATTATTTTACAATAATAATAAGTGAAAATAAATAGTCACAATAATTTTGAGTTTTCTTTATACATGGTTTTTTTTTTAAATGGGACAGTAGAAATCTGAAACCATAGAAGATACAATAGGAACCATTAATTTTTTTTTTTATTTATTAAGGCTTTGGCAAAGCCATCAGCCTAAACATGAAGTTTAAATATGTTTCCGTAAATATGGCCGCCACAAAGAGGATAGGCAATTTGAGGCGGGGCGTGCTTGGATTGACTCGGGATTCCTTAAAACGGGCCGATACGGGTATTTTAGTTCGAGATTCGTATAACTTAGCGTTTTAATCTTCGATTAAGGTACATAGCACTATCCTATTCCACTTTAAACTAGATTTCACAAAATAATTGAAAGTCAAAATAAAAACGACACTTTTCCTTCCAATAGGTCCAGAGCGAATCTGGGAACCATTAAGTAAGTCTTTTTTATGAAAACAATTTTGGAATAGTAATTTTTTTGGTCGAGCGTGAGTTGTCCATAAAATGGAACAAATTTGATAAATTTTTTTTTAGTGTTGATCCACCCAATCTTATGAATAAATGATTTCATAGCGTGAGACGAAAAAAATCGGGACATTGAATTTTTTTTATGCTAATAGACTTAGTTCCTTATTTATAAAAATGACTTCATTGGATTGGAAGAAAAAAATTAAAACAGCAGAAGTTGGTCAACGTAACGGCGTTTGTAGCGGCGTCCTGCAAATTATTATTTTTTTAAACACGACAAAACAATAAATGTTTTACATATTTACATTACCATTTAATAAAATACGGTTATTGAAATCCACAAATCATTAATTAATCACTTTTCGAGTTAATTACACTAAGATATTAATATTAATTTTCACAACTTCATAATATTATAATGATGAAATACAGAGTCGATTAACTCTTCCAGATTTATTTATTTTATTTTATTGGATTACATTGGAGTACATATTACAGATCAGAATATACATTAACAAAACCATTCTACATGAATGGATATAAATCTGCAATCCAATTATAGCATATATTATATACACAACACTT